AAATATATATTAATCTCAATTTATAAGATAAATTAAAGTCTTAATCTTGAATTATTTTATTTTATTAAAACTCAATTCAAATTTTAAAAAATTATATTGTTAAATATTAATATTTAAATTTAAAAACTAATTATATTTGAACATATAATCAGTTTTTAAATCTAAATTTAGCATTTAATAAGATAAGATTTTAATTTTTAAATATAAGTTGAAACTTCAATTGTTTTTAAAAATCAAGACTTATACATACTAATATTTAAATTTAAAAACTAATTATATTTGAACATATAATCAATTTTTAAATCTAAATTTAGCATTTAATAAGATAAGATTTTAATTTTTAAATATAAGTTGAAACTTTAATTGTTTTTAAAAATCAAAACTTATACATACTAAACTTAATTAATATTATTATTATTTATAATGAAGAGTATTTAATCTATTAAACTAAAGTCAATTGTTGATGTCTAATAATTGTTTATGAAAATTCAAAACAAAGACCCCATTAAAAGTTTAAAAATAACATGAGAACAAAAACAAAATTTTTTAGCATTACTAATAAAAGAATAAAAAAGAATTGTGTAGTTCAAATTATTTTGAATTGCGTCACTCTATCTATTGAATGAGGGTGAAATTTTAATTTATAATATGATGCAATTTAAATTGTAAGATAATAAATTCAAAAAAAAAAAAAAAAGATGACTTTTTCTTTGGCCTCATTTTGTAGCTGTGGTGACCAAAAAGTCTGAATTTTGCTTAGGTTGAAAATCACCAAATACCAATAATTGTAACCAAAACTTGACATGGAAACCACTTGAAAATTTGAAGTTGAGTTGGGGATTATTAGGATTATAAATTTTTTAACAAGTTGGCAGACAATGGTTGGAGGTATTATTTGATACAAATAATGATTGAGTATTATAAAAATGATTACACATGGTAGGAATTGCTGAATTTTCGAACTTATAATGATAAATGATGAGGTTAGTCACATGGATGGCTGTTGGGGAGATACTTAGTAGTTGGGAGGCGGATCAATTGTCTAAAGGTGCAATGAAGTAGTGAGAGGGCAACATTTTTATGTCGCCTTTCCTTGCAAATTTGGCAATTCCATTTAATTTCCACCTACAGGCCTACTTCCATCATGCTAATGCCCACAAGATGTAAAATTTACCAACGACACTTCATCCTTAAGGAACCTCCCCTAGAAGCTATGGCAAGATAGTCAAACCAGTGATTCTTTTGTAGCGTCTTAAATTTCACGTTAAATATATATAATTATAATTGATATATAAATATTATGACTAAATATAATTAAAAGTTTAATTTTTTTTTATAAGATTAATATCTTGGATTTAAACATTTAAGAGATGTAAATCTTCACTTCAAAAGTCATTTAATCAATGTAAGTTTCAACCCAAGTTTTTTTTTTTTTTTCCTTCTATCTCCTTCCCCCAAATAAAATGAAAAACACTTCTCCATCATTTACTTAGTTTTTTACAATAAAAAATTCCAAGTATATATATATTTTTTTCACTTCTTCCATAGTCTAAAATTTACTGCATGACAACGTTCTGATTTTTTTTAACAGTGAAAAATTGAGGATTTGAAAAATAATTACAATAATATTGCAGTTATAATTTAAACTATTGACAAAAAAAGATAATTGGTGCACTTCTATCATGGTTAATGCCATTAGTGCAATGTTCTGATTCTTCTTAATCTAGTTTGTATAAAATCTATTGATTTCATACAGTTTATAACTCAAAATAACCTATGCTTTTTTTAAAAAAATAAAAATTATAAAATTTTTTTGGTACATATAATTATGGCTTATGTAAGAGGAACAGCTCTCTTCTATTCACAAACGTCTTTCTCCGCCCAACTTAAAACTTGGACATTTTTAATTTTTAATTCTTAATTATTAATTATTAATTATTAACTCACCCATTATTTTTTTTTTCTGAACATTTTATTATAGGGCCGGCTCGAACCGTTACCCTGAAGGAGAGAGATATGAACCTTACAAACATAATTAGAACCACTTGACCCGAAAAATCAAATTTGTATTAACTCACCCATTATGATTATAAAGATTATGAAATAAATAATGATAAATGATGCCCGCAAGCAGGCAGAGTTGGACTGTCTGAACATACAGAGCCCAACTCGCCTAATATAAATATTTGTGGGTCCATTGAAAGTTGTCAAGTCGGCCTATAGCGCTTCATCCCCCCAAAAAAAAAAAAGTCGGCATATAGCTCGCCACTCTCCATTGAGGGGCCACCAAACAAATAAATTATATATTACGCAAAAATATACTAGTAATCAAAATACGAGAATAATTCACATTAGTCTTTTTTTTTGTAATTGAAAGAAAAATTATTTTACAATTATATTATTTTAATAAATTTTTATTAAAAAATTAAAGTATTTTATTTTAAAATATCAATTAAAATTTTCATATTTTTTAAAAATATTTTATTAAAATAACATAAATTTAAAATAAATTTTTTCTTAATTTTTAAAAAATAAAATAAATAAACACTAATATTTAGGATTAAATTTAAATATTCACGGACTCCAACGATTTCACCATGCCATACAAATTGATTTGATGGGTACGTTTTTGAAAACGCTCGAGAAAAATATAGTTTTCAAGTGTGGGTAAGCTAACTTGAGAACAAAATACGATTCAAAGTTCAAACCAACAAATTACAGGCCCAACCATACGTGCCATTGTGAAATGGGTGATGCCATCCAGTTCTTTTCAAATTTCATTGTCTTGTAATTGAGTTTGAATCAGCTCCGATTATAATTTGATGTTTGCTTAGGAATTCCTAATCAGGATTAAGTCAACAGACTCAGCTATCAAAATGCCTGCTTTCGTGTATGAGTATGTAAATTATAAAACAAATTCACGGTCAACGTGGCAAACGCCTGAATTGTTCATCATCTGAAACTTCTTCTCAATGTACATTTTTTTTAAGAAGACTTTCAGAATTTCTTAAAGGACAAAGCTATTTAGAATATTACGATAGAATTATAAATTTATAATTGTAATATATTGTAACGTATTATTATTATTATTTTTTATTTTAATTATACAATAAAAAATAATCAACTCTTATCATTTATCTCATTTTACCACAAATTATATAACTTAAATTCAAGATTTCACAGTTTCAACAAAAACAAAATAATCATTAAACTACTTAAAATATCGAATTTAATACCTCTTATCTCACCTCATCTACATGTAATATATTATTATATAAAAAAACCCATTATATATAAATAAATTTCATATTGTAAATTTAAAATGTAATATGATATTACAATTAAAATATTTTTATTTTTTAATCATGATTTCGCACTTAATCATAGAACGCCATGATTCCGAATATTCTCCCGTTTTACCAAGAGTAGGCAGAAAGGCCCACAAAATTCTTTGCTAAAAATTTTTCCATTCATTTTCCATTCAACCAAACACGAGGGCATTCAGGAATTACATAACCTGAAGAACTAGGAAGTTTCTCTCAAGTTTTCCTTATTTCCTTCAGGACGTTTATCAGTGAATTGTTTGGTGTGGAGCCGATGACGCCGTTCTCGGCCGTAAATTACCCAGACGATCAAAGATAGCATCACCGCCGTCGAAACCATTACCAATCCGATGTAGATCCATCTACTGTATCGCAGGATACCGGGACAATGTCCCACGTAAATTTCAGCGAAAGTTTCTCGAACAAACGTGCAGTCCTGCAGCTGAACCAGGAATGGAGCGTAATTATCCAATGCCAAGCTCACACTTACAACCGCCGACATCTGGCTGTAAAATGTCGGCGTCAACCGTCCCGTTGTCGTGCATATACCACTAGGAGATACCTGGCATACATAATTACTCCAAACCTGAAAAAACAAGCACAATTAGTCCACAGTCTATACATTAGAGATGTAAACAAAATACATAAATTTATGTTTTTTGTCAAGCATGGCTTCAAGTAGCTCACAAGCAGCTATGGTGGCTATACCATAAGTAAGTAGATGTTGCTTAGTTACCTCGGTTGCATTGTTTAAGTTCACTTCACCGGGTGTACAAGTTCGGTCAGTTAAGTCAGAGAAAAAGGGGTTGCAGAGGACAGGGACCAAGGGACCGGACTGATTGAAGTACATCGGTTTGAAGTTTGGAGAAAAATTGATGTTGGAAACATTGGTGATGACTTGGTTGATTACTTCCACAAGCTGAGAAGTCACTTCCTTGCTTTTCAAGAGAGTTTCTTGAGCAGTTGCCTTGTCGACACAAGGCAGAATTTGATCAAAAGCTGTGTGAGCGCTTGGGTTTTGAACCCATTCATTCATTGCAACACAGGTATCTCCAGCCACACTAGAAAGAAATTGAAAGAGTCAGATTTTCTGAGAAGTCCAGTTTAAATGAAGAAAATTTTTTTTTCCCCATTATGGATCATGATTGAACTCACTTGTGGAGGAGAAGGAATGTGCCACATAAAATGAATGTTCCGGTAACAAGAAACCATCCCAAGATCACCAGGCTGCAAAAATACATTCAACTAAATTACAAAACCAGTCGCTTATAAAATGATCATAATTGAATTTGAAATTCATCCATCCCACGGTAGTATCTTACTCACATGTACACAAGAAGCTGCATCCCAAAAATCGAGAATACTGTAGAAAAATCGAATACAAGATAGATTAGTTATGAACAATATGGGATTTAAAGAAACGACTGAGAGCTAGCTAAAGGAACTTGAGGATCTTACAAAATCCAAGGAATGTCAAGACAAGCATTATAGCAGCGATTATAATGAGAGCCATTCTCCTGCACAACATTCAAATGTGTCACGTATTAGCAAATTTTCGGAAGTAAACCAGATAAGAAAGAGTTGGGATCATTCGCTTACACAGAATCTAAGAGGTCTTGTGTATCATCTGAATTCTTGGCTGTTTTCTCAGCAACATTGCTTGCTGAAGAATTAAGTTTTGCTTCAATCTGGTCAATGTCAGTTTGGACATTTGTAGGCAGAAAAACTTGATCAACCCCAATCTGCCTGGCTGTGGCAAGATTATCTGACACATTCCTTAGTTTATCAACAGTGCTATCAGCCTGATTAACAACATAGTCCAATGTTTCTGTTGTGCTCAGGTGAAACCTCCCCTGTCCGATGTATAACACAACACATCCGAGGCTGAAAACATGGTGAAACATCAGGAATGTTGCAAAATGTCATTGATATGGACTTAACATGAGAGGGAGAAGATGCATTTACATTGCAGCAATGGTGAACAATACAAGGAAAATGAGTGAGAGAGCATAAGCTGTTCGGGAATAGCCATAAGGCTTCCTTTTACGGCATAAAGAACATAGACAGATAAGGAACAAGACAAGGCCAAAACCCGAGAACCAGATCAAAGCAATGGCAAAAAAGGGAGCTGCTGTATATCCCACAGACTGCATTTAAACAAAATCAAAACAGAAAAGATTAGTGAGGACATAAATAACAGGTGAGAAAAAATGAGAAGAACCAGTGAGGCCATGTACTTTTGTAAGCAAATGCTGAAAATTTGCATCTATAATAAGAAGTTAATTTCATAGCTATTCTCAAATCTCACAACATTTCTTCACTACTTCCAAGTTCCATGTGTTCTAACTAAATTTAGCAATTCTATTTCCACCTATAAATTTCCATACACCGTCACTCTGAAATTTCATTGAAAGCCTTTTAGCGATGGTTTTTCATTATGTATCCCACAATTCAGTATTGCATACTTTCACCTGAAAAGAGGCGTCTATTGCAACAAGATGACAAAATTTATGTACCCAAAACTAAAAACAAAAGAGAGTACTTTTCTCAGGGTTTTGGAGAAAAACTCACAGCCCAATAATGACGATCATTGAGATTCCATCCGCCGGTGTATCTCTTGAACCCATTAAGTGGGTCTTTCCGGTTAGTCCTCTGAGCAGCCAAAGGAAGTTCTGGGTTCTCCACAGGTTCAAAATCAACACTCGGTCCCTCCACTACAGACCTCTGAGTCCCCCGTGAAAATCCCACCACGTACTTTCCCTCATTTCCTGAATATGATAGAAAAAATAGTCACTTTTCTCCTCTGCATTTTCTTAGAATCCAAACAGAGGAAGGAAGGAAACAAGAAACCAAACTAACCTGAAGGGGGAAGTGCTGGTAACGTGTGAGATTGAGAATGGGAGACTCCATGGTAATTTCCCTCATTTTTTTTCAATTCACCTGAAACTAAAAGAAAAAAGATCGTCACTTTACCCTCTTATTTTCTCTGCCTTTTCTTAGAACCCAGAATATGCAGAAAACATAAACCGAAGAAACCTGAAGAAGGGGTTAGTGCATGAGAGAATCCACGGGAAGAGGAGAGGAAGGCTAGGAGGAAGAGAGTTGTGGCCAAAAATGGAACTGGATTATGTAACCTCAGCATTATTGTACGTGCAGAGAGAATGGGGAAGAAAGGATAGTAAGTGTAGCCGTGTCCGGGGTGAAGTGAACAAGTGAAGTGCTACAAGCACCGGTGAGATGGATAATTGCCTTTCATTAAAAAAAAAAAAAAAAAAA